AGTAACGTTGCCAGGGTGCACCACGAGGTGCCGTAGGTAATAACTTATTAAAAATCTGGTTTCTCTTATGTTGCGCTAATAATGAAACACGAGAACGGGAAATGACTACAGAAGGATTCAATATTTAACTAATGCTTATTAATGTTAATTATTATAAAAAAACATGGAGGAAAGGCAATATTTAGGAAAAAATGCGTTTTTTTCGCATGAGAGTAGCAAAGGACGCTGAATAATTGAAAACGAACGATTTTTAATGACATGTAATTCGCATTTGGATCTTCAGAGGGCATATTTACAAGTATTCATTTATTTATTTTAAGTGGCAGGCTTTATGATAGTTATTATTAACCCTTTAGCTGACTTCGGGCTTCACAGATAGGGGGAACATCAAAGTGAGAAAAGTTGGAGATGGGGGGGGGGACAGAATAGTGGTTCAAAGATGTAAAAGAGACAGACAGACAGACACAGAGAAAAGGAAAGGTGAGTACTGTGGAAGTGGTGGAATATGACGTATATTGGGGCCATGGTAGTTTGAAGTTATAAGTCAACTGCCGGTTTATAGACTTTTTGCCGTATGAGTATACGTTGCCCCCCTCCCCCGTGGGTAAACGTTTTCATGCACAGGTTTAGAATTAATTAATATAATGTTCATCAGATTGGTGTCATGGAATGTCACAAAGGGAGGGATCAATTCTTGTGGGTAAAGTAAATATAAATCAAAACTCTTTGAGTAAAGTACGCAGTGGAACGATGAGATTCTGCAGTATTAACGTGATGAATTTGCATGGGAAAAATTACAATTGAACCTATTTACCATTCTCCAAAGCTCAGTCTGATCAGCAAAGTTAGGTTTCTAACCAATTTTATAAGATAACTTATTTGGAGATGCTGTATATGAATGAGGTTGTAAACATTGCTGATAATTTCCTATCAAGAATATTTACTCTTTACTTTGAATCTCAGAACAATATATCAGCAACAGAAACCCATGAATTCATTAGTCTCTAATCTTGGAAGGCTAAAAGACTATGCACACTACCTACCAACCTATTCAAAATCCACATAATCTTCCTCTCATAGTTGTATCCTATTGCAAGAACGAGTTAAGTATGATAAAAAAATATATTTCATTATTTTTCACTACTTTTAAATAAGCATTTTTGCACATTTTTAGAGATATCGCAGCTAGGAATTGTCTAGTGAGTCATAATCACGAGAGTGGTCGCATTGTCAAATTGTGTGACTTTGGTTTGGCGCGGGATATTTACAAAAATGACTACTACAGAAAAAGGAATGAGCCCAAACTGCCTGTTCGATGGATGTCTCCAGAAGCCATTCTTGAAGGTCTCTTTACAAGTAAATCAGATATCTGGTAAGGGATGTTTATGATACTATGAGTTTATCTAACCAAATTGGTTTACAGGGTCATAGTAAAATGCCTTACTGAAGAAGAATAACACGATCAATTTGTTAACAATACGATAAATTAGACCATTATAATTACCCCCGGGCATTCGCCATCTAGTTTCAAATTAAAAATTGAATTAAAAACAACTTTATTGATCTGACCAAGCTTCTTGTTTGAAAAAAATTCATCTTAATACTGAATCTAACTTGCCAGATTCCTAATTAATTGCAACCATAACTAACAGTAGGCTTAATATAAAGGAAGGAAGGAAAAATATGCGTCGAGACCTCCATCGAACTGTAAATTGCCAGCAGCGGAAGCGATAAAAAAAGAAGTGCAAAATAAATAGAAGATATGGAAATATCAACTTGCATTGAAGTACTAGATTCCCTTATTAATGTGCGGTCATTCATTATAATCACTTATTTTTTCACACTAAAAATCAGGAAAAAACTTATTGCTATCTTCTAGACTAGCTTTGATATACTTCAGGATTAATCCGAACTATTCATCTCAGTTGGGCTAAACTATAATCAAATATATATTTAAAAGTTTACCTCTACGTATACGGAGTGTGTGTGCGTGTGTACAAGCGCATGCATGGATCAAATATGCGTATAATCAGAATTAGAAAAAGTTAAGTCCAACTTCGATTGATAGAGAGGCCTCATGGGACAACGTTGCCTCTCCTAACTAAGTAATTAACTAACTAACCAACTAGAATGCATGTAGCTGCATGCTAATTTTAAAGCCGAAATTCCATTCAAAATGCGCTTGAAGAACAGTCACGGTACTGTGGATAAGTGTTGATTTGTATTTACACTACGTGGGTGTATTTCGTAACAATTTATCATGAAACTAAATTTAAAACTTGAAGTTCCAATCGTACTTTAATAAAATTATTTTGGGATTTAACGATGAAATTTCTGCATAATCAGGTTAACATAGAGTGATATTCCCAAAAGAATAATACTGAATAAGAAAGGTTGTAGCTTTCTTTCTTTATAAAAAGAAGTTAGAAGAAATTTAAGATTGTGGACAATTTTTAGAATAAAAAACCATCCGAAATTTGCAAAAAGTAAGCACCATGTACTTTTAATTTATATCGAAAATGGTGAATTTTGACAAGAAGGCAAAGTGATTGAATATATTTGACGTCTGATGAACAACATCTGTTAAAAGTGGGATTTGGTTTGATTATTGAAAAACAACGGTAAATATTAATGCACCATTGAATGAATAAATGAATTGTCATTGATATTACTTTAACTAATGACTAATTTTATTGCATACTTAAGCGAGTTTAGGTAAGAATTATCACCATTATTTTGGATTGAGTAACCAGCAGTAGGAATTGGAAGTACTTTATGCAACAAATTATGGGAATAATAGAGTCTATAGTGCTTTTATTGGAATTTAGATGTGAGATGTGCTAATAAGTACGCAGTCAAAAATTGATTTTATTGGGTATTTCTAAAGTACTTTCTTCGTCACACAACCCCCGAAAACTTTCGATATCTGCAGCATGAAAACGTGTTTCAAATTCAGTCCGCGTTTGTGAATTTCAGAATATGAATCGACTTAAAATTCAAATCCAATTAAAATCGCAAACCAAGATTCCTGCAAACACTTCCCTTAATAAATTATAGCTTTAGATTCTTCAAATTTTTGCCTAATTTTGAGGAAATGACTTCGTCTGCAAACAGGTGTGCCTCGGAATCATGAAAAGAATTTCCTCAGCAAAAGTACATTGAAGGGATGGAAGCATTGCTACAAATTGTAGTTTAATTCATGTTGGAGGGAAGAAAATTTTATACTTTTCAATTACCGCTATAAGAAATCGGTCCTGCTTGGAAAGAAACTGATATGACAGTAGCTGTTATTGGGAAGAATTTTAAATTAAAAAAAGTGGAAAGTGTATCCCTTCTTTTTGTTTACAGAAATTGTAATATGATAAAAATTTCCTGCTTTTTATCGCGAATTCGATTTTTGTTCAGTCTGTTTCGGCTTTTATCTGCTTCTATATATTTGTCATGCGAACAATGATCTTAATCGAAAGTAACTAACTAATTATAACTAATTTGGATTAACAAAAGTAGTAGCTATTCGAATTTACTTGATCCTTTAAATATTGAGAAATTAAGCCCAATGAGGAAAAATCAGAACTATTTGTGCGAAATAATGAAACAAACCTTATTTTTTATAATAAAGTTAAAAGATATACAAAAAGATATGTCTATTAGGAGCTATTGATCGCATCCATGCCACTTACGTACCCACAAGTAGGTCTTAATTGACTTATGAGAGGAACGTTGTATACTCACGTTTCTTTTCCCTCTTAAGCTGTGGCTATCCAAGTTCATTTTCATAATTACTGCATTGCAAGGGGAGTTACCCTCTATTAAAAGAGCAGTATATAATTCGTGTGAGGGAATTTCGTAGAGTATTGAATTAAAAGTTACACCAATTACTACTCCTCTGGTCTCAACCTTACAGTCAACTCCTATCCAATTTTCAAGCTCAAATTTTAATGCTGCTCTTAAAAATAGATGTCTCTATTGTCCACAGTTCATAAGTGACACGCTTCCTCATTTGTGCCTTCATATTCATGGGGTTGGGGGGAGGGGGGGCGGGCGGGTGGGTGACTATCATTTGGTGCTCCACATCCAAGTTGAATCTGGATGGTTTTGTAGACCAATCCTACTGGCTTAAAATTCAATAATTTAATGGATGAACTACCCGCTTTCCTGAGTGTGGTCGTGTGCCCTGTTTGTGGAGAGTCACGTAATATTCCGCGTCCATTTTGTTTTTTTTGAAATGTTTTGTTGGCAGTGATTAATCGCGATCATGAATACAGTACAGAAGAATGCTGTTCCCAATCAAACAAAGAGTGCTCATTGTTCAAACTTACTTATGTTGCAAATCGCTTGAGATGTTAAATGAAACATGCACGCAAAAAAATACCCACAGACAGCTCCTCCTGCTAAAACTTTTACCCAGAAAGTGCTATTTAACTTCAGAGATATTGGTTATTGGCATAATTATGTGGCCACAATTTGCTCACAGAAAGGTATTCGACCCATTTACGAGACTCTGCTAAGAAGTTCACGTAAGTCAGTCAGATGTTTATCATCTAACTTAAACATCAAGCAAACTCCATGTCAGTAAACGTTGAAGCAGTTACATAGCCGAGCGTACCAAGTGAGAACGGTACAAAAATTGTATTTACAGTCCACGCAAAAGGACAATATTATTGCGAATGTTTACTTAATCATGTCACTGGTGGTTATATGGATCCAATTTTTTCACAAAGGAAGATTAGTTCCCCCTCAACGAATAGGATAGCTCTCGTAACACTCACTATTGGTCATCAGATGATTTCAAGGAAAACTTTTCTTTGTCCCTTCATTGGGGAAAAAGTAAACGTTTAGCGGCAGTTTCAGCCAGACGGATTGTAGGCGCCAATTTCTTTAATACTTCTTAGAACTCTCAAGTGTCTGTAGCGGAGTTATTGTAATTTTTCATAGCACACCTGACGGAGGAAGGCTGAATTTGCGTTTCTAGTAAGATTGTGCTACGGTTTTCAATAGCATGAGTTCACAAATTTTTTCGGAGAATAGCAAACAGTTTCTTCAACATTATGGCTTCCATGGTTGACTGCTCCGACAACCTGTGGTTTTTGTTTGTGGGATATTTTTAAGGGCAAAGTGTATCGTAAAAGATCGCATATTATTGAAGAGTTGAAAATTAATATTTTGCAATAGGATTGAAGATATCACGAGAAATAACTTTAAAGAATTCTCCCAAAACATTAAGACATTCTAAGTTATGTGTCGGAGTTCACTGTGAACACTTTCAAAATTTGATGTTAATCATGACTTTCTGTGCTCACCACTTCTAAGAAACTGGAAACTATTCATTCGGCTTTCTGTATTTCAACGAGACCTCTGTCATCATGGTCATCCAGTGTTAGTTAATTCTTTTCCTTCAAAAATTTCAACAAAATAAACTCTTCATTTCTAATCCCGGAAATATTCATTACGATTGGTAGAGAACGGTACATTTCGCAATTACTTAAAGGCATATTCCCATTCGGGTAATATTTATGCAAACAAGCAAAACCATGAAGCAGTAGTTTAATTATAGCTCGTAAAGGAAATCAAAATAAGGGAGTTGCCATAATATCGCTTGACAATACCATTTCTATGCATATTAATGTATAAATAATAATAATAGGCTTGCTTTTAATGCTCCGAGGGCTTCGCTGTGAACAGTTGTTTTTACCGTAAAATACATAACATTGAATCTTGGGGATATTTGTGGTGCACTTATACCCTCAACGAAGGTAAAAGATTCCCAAGATTTAGACTAAGTTAGGATCCTCAAAAAAGCAAAAATAGCGGTCAGATATTTGTCGTATTAGGTTTCAAAATCACGGAATTTTATAAAACAAAAGAGGCTGAGTTCATTTTTTTGGAAACACTAAAATCCGATTCTACTTGTCATCAAATATACAAATGATTTAATTAAATTAGTGTGTAAGATTACAAATTGGATTCATTATTTTCGCCAAAAGTTAGCAAATATATTATTCATTTCTATTTAATCATATCAAACATTTAAATTTTGCCTGTCTGTTATTGAGCATCATGGTAAAAAGAGGTAGAAATTGTTTCATTGCCTAAAATAAACCAATGAACTCGTTTCTCCGGTATTTCCAATGATAGTAATTAAGATTAATATATTTATCAAAGATAATAATCATATTGTTATTGATGTTTTTTATTTTCGTAATCAAAGATTTTAGATTGTTTTAATTGCAAAAGAAGAGTAATTTTGAAATTTTGAACATATACACTTCGTAGAAAGTGTTAATAAACTGTGCCACATGTAGGAACACAATTAAATGCTAACTCCTAACAGGAGTATAAACAATATTCTTCCAAGGATTTATTCATCGGTAGACAACAAAGAGTGAGAGAGTGGCGATTCCATTCAGCGGCGGTTGCGGCGGCAGTTGTAGCAGAAGTATGGTATTTCAGCCCAATGGGCAACATTTTCCCACTGACCAGGGCAAATTATGTATCAGTTTCCCTAAAAAATTCCCCCTTCCATTCGGTTGCCAATTTATTATTATTGTCGAAAATGCATGAAACTATGGAATGGAACCGAAATGAGTGTGGTTGTTAGAGGCAGAAAAATTTAAACATGAAAAGATGTTTCGATAGGCGAAATTCTTTCCCATTAATTACTAAAGCGTTTAAGGAAGTATGCTGGGGAGTGGGATTCTTTTAGGAAATTCTTTGAATTTGGATCTCCATAAAGGTCTATCAATTTCACTTGCATCAGAACTTTTTGCAGGCAACTAGAAAGAACACACTGCGATAATTGTGACTAAGTCAAATCTGAAAGCAATCTCAGAAGATTATTGTTTAGAAAGATCTGTAATGACTGAAACATTCAATAAATGCCGCACAAATAGTCTGGAAGTAAATAGGCTGTGTACTTAGCTTCGTCGAATTTACTATTGGCAGGATAAGAGGAAAATACACTTCGTCCTTGTGGCGCTTCATATAAACACTTGGAACATTAAACATTTCACTACGAAGGAAGAATTAGAGTAGGATAGTCAAAATAAGCTAAAAAATTTTGCTATTTATTTCACTTTTGCTTTTTGGATAGAGTTCACCGTTCAACTCTCAGGCGCTTTCGTTATTTGGATTTTAAGATCTGACTCTTGTTGCCCTCTAAATGAATTCCTTGAACTTTAGTTGAATGATTGTTCGACCAACTTGTGTAAAAGTTATGTGGAACACACTAATGACCAGTGTATCATACTGGGCAGCTAAATTCTATCACCACTTCATAACTGTCCAGTTATCAAAGTTTCAAAATCATGCCTTTTCTAGACTTCAATGTTGCACGGAGGTCTGGTTACCTCAATTGAGTTGGGAAAAAGGGTATCTAGTGAGAAAGAGAGTGCGGTTTGGTTGCGGAATCTTAATCTATATCCGCTCTACGATTACTTGAACGCCAAACACAAATAGGAATTCGTTTGCAAGGTCTGTGAATTTAATCGATCATCCTAGGAAAATCCATGTGAGATCAGAAGATGCAGGCGAATAGACCATCACAGAAACACAGCCATCAATCAAACTGATAGAATTTCATGTTCTCTGGACAAACAAAAAGAGAGTGGTTATGTAATCATTCGAAAATACGCCACTTAGAAGTTAGTTTTGGTTTTGATAAGGCGTATTTTAAAAATAATGAAAGGAAATTTGAATTCCCATAGGGATATTTGTTTACCACCAAATAACTCTTGAAGCGCCAGAATTGATAGCATAATTATTCATTTTACTTGTGAGTTTTGCATTTGTTTCGAAATTATTATTTAACAAAACACTGCGGAACCTATTAAATTTTATCGACAAAGGAAATTTATTCATTGTAAGCAGATAGTAAGGCTAATCCAATATTTTGTTTCTTTTTTAAGTGGATAAGAAAACATCTTCATTTTACTCAAGCTATTAATTTGAAGTACAATTGACTTAAATGCCTACTTAAATGATTATAAACGACGGTAGTAGAGACAGAGATAGAGAATAAATTTTTAGTATTTTCATTAAATTGCCAATATTACCGCCATTGAGAAAAATACTAAACCACTAACCACATATTTAAGGAGGAAATTGTCGAATTCAGGCATTTTAAGTTACAATGTTTTAAGTATACTTGTTGATGCCGCGTTGCGTTTCCTTATAAGGAACTAAATAAAGGTATTTAATACTTAAAATTAACATAAAATGTAATTATTTCTATTGTTAAAATAACTAGGTCAATTTTTAATTTTTCCAAAAATTTTCTTGGCTGCTTGGGAAAGTGGGTTGATAAAATTATTCCTAAATTGCTTTTTCTATTAATATCCCTATTTAAATCTATTAATGCAAACATGTAGTATGAAGTAAGACTGTTTTTTGAAAGATTATTAATTTATTTTTTTTCAAATTATATCTGAAGGGCCTACGCAGTAACATGTTGGGAGGTGATGTCTCTAGGCGCCGATCCCTTCTATGGACAAGTAAATTTGGAAGTCATTAACCTCCTTCTCAACGGTAATGTCTTGTCAAAACCTGACAACTGCCCAACTACCTTGTAAGCTTTATTGAAAAGATGTTTCTACAATCCTATCAGAAATGATCTAGATAGAGAGTATGCAGATTTCAATTCGATAATTACTTAAATTAAGAAACTACTTGAGGGTTATTAGTATTGAAACTAAAAGTTCCAAACGTCTCCAGTCGAGGTAAATCTTTCTTTACTATTAATGATTCACTCTGCTCTCCTCCCCCCCCCCCTTAGATTCCTCAGAGAATCTGACCGGATTATACATTTAGACTTCAAGTTCATAATCTCGACAGTAACATTTGTTTTCTAGCAACAGTCATTTATGTCATTTAATTATTAACCATGTGGTAAAAAAGTCAGTGTCTGAAAACTTGCAAATATGTACAATCTCAGCTTGTCTCAAAGAACATCCAGGTTTTAACTACATCCCATTAAACTGAGCCAATAAATATTTCTAAAATATTTATTTATTTATTTCAAATGGCAGGCGCTTTGATAGTTATCATTGGCCCTTTAGCTGACTTAAGGCTTCACAGAGAAGAGGCGAAACATCAAAGTGACAAAAATAGAGAGGGGGGACAGAATAATGATTCACAGATGTATCAGAGACAGACAGACAGACAAAAAGAAAGAGAAAAGGTAAGATAAGTACTGTGAAAGGGGTCGAATATGACAAATAATCGGGTCATAGTAGTTTGAAGTCAGAAGTCAACTGCCAGTTAATAGACTTTTTTGCCGTATGAGTATACGTTGCCCAGGGTGCACCACGTGGAGGTAAGTCTATCGCACACCCCATATTTCTAAAATATATACCATCATTAAAGAAATGAAAACGTATTATTTACCACTCATTCAAGTTCAAAATTTTATTTCGTGAACTATTTTTATGGTATTTTCATATTTTTCATATCTTAACAACTTAAATTCCACTTATGGAAGTCAAAGTGAGATGAAAACAACATTTCTTAGGTAATCACTTTGAATAAGCACAATGGTGTTTAGTAAAACAAAGTATTTCTTATTATTTATTTAGATACGACCACATGTTGCAGTGCTGGAGTCGATTTCCCGAGATTCGTCCAACGTTTGCCGAAGTCTGCCGAAAAATGGATGAATTTGTGGAAGCTTCCAATAATGAAGAGAGTCCATTCTCTGGCCCTTATATCTATCGTGTTCCTATCGGAACTTCAACAATCCGTAAGATCTCACGAGTTGAACACTCTTCATATAAACACGAGCGATTTTCTTAACAAATTATAACAAAAAGTTTGAGTATATTTAAAGATCGTATGTTCAGTAATTCTTCGAAGTCGTTTACACCTTTAACACTTTTGATTTTACTTCACCTATTTTTGGCATTTCTAAATTTAAAACGCCACACAGATATAATAAAACAATTCAAAATCTAACTGGTAGGAAATTCAAACTTAATTTTACAATTCATATCATAAAATACCTTAAATTGTTTCCATTGTCGCATGACTAACTGTATCCAATAGTACATTTAGACAAGTCCTATTATGTTTATTAATTATTTATTTTCTAAAAAACGCAGGTCATAATGCGTGCTATCTATACATCGCAAAGAAAAACTTCATCGTGGTTATACAATATGGTAGTCCAACATGGTGAATTGAGCAATGGTAATTCGATGTTAAATTTGAAATTAGAGAATTGGCCACTTGTAGATAAAATTAATAATAGAAATGCTTTTAATTTCATATGAATTTTCAATATTATAATTCTATCAATATAAAATACACTCGTTTAATTAGATTATGTCAAAGTGTTAAATTCTAATTGATCGCAAAAATTATAATCTTCACAGTAGAAACTTAAATAATATCGTTTTCTGCCTTAGTTTAAAATTCCGTCTTTCTGGAGTGGATTTTAAATATCTGGAATATCTTATAACTTTCAACGTACTAATTGGCCAGTGTTTAAGCGATTTGCCACAGAAAGAAACCACCTGGGACAATTCTGCCTTACTGAAATAAATCTGGCCTTTTGTTAAGAGAAAGAAAGAGTTAGCTGAACATATATTGATAATGAGTTAGTAGCTACGCACAATGTCCAAGTAGATTATGGAATAAATATGGCGAGATGGAAAGCTCATTTACAAACAGATTGTGTCCCGTAAACCAGAACTCATCTCGGTTCTCTTGAATACAACTGCATAATCGAGAGTGACTCATCTCTACATTCGTATTAATGATTATTGATTGCAGTCCTTGTTTCTCCTGTTTCTTACGCTAAATTTCCGCATTTTTTGGCCTTCAGCTTCTCAGCAAATACTTTCAGTTGGTGATGCGGAATGGCAACGCCCAAAAGCTACTGATTCCCCCATGACACCACATGCAAATGACTCTGCTGTAAATCTGATTCATTCAAACTCTCTGAGCATGTCACACCGAGGGGGTAGTGCCACGCCATATCGAACTCATAGTCTTCAACGCCATAGACCCGAGACTCTCAGAGATCCGGAGGATCATTTCTCCGGCACATTCTACTTCAATTCCCAGCAACCTCAATTACAAGATCAGCAGATGGCAGTAGCACAACCAGTCATGCAACCGTACGCTCGTCAGGCTAGTCTAACTGAATGTCTGGTCAGGCGCGGTCCACCAATATTGCAAAGACAACTTAGCGATAGGTATCAGTATAACAGGGATCATACTGAAGTCGATTCTATGGGGTGAGTACAAAAGAACTGTGCAATGACATTAAATGCTGAATATAAAATTATTATTTCAAATGGCAGGCGTTTTGATAGTTATCATTAGCCTTTTAGTTGACTTCAGGCTTCACAGAGAGGAGGAGGAACATCAAAGTGACAAAAAGTTGAGAGAGGGAACAGAAGAGTGGTTTATAGTTGTAAAAGAGACAGACAGACGCAAAGGCATAGAAAAGGTAAGATGAGTACTGTGGTAGGGGTCGAATATGATAAATAGTCGGGTCATAGTAGTTTGAAGTCAGTAGTCAACTGTCGATAAATAGACTTTTTCGTTGTATGAGTATACGTTGCCCAGGGTACACCAGGTGGAGGTAAGTCTATTGCACACCCCGAACATGAAATACAAATTAAACAAACCAGGAAAGTAATTTGTTTAAATAACATAATTTTATGACATCATATCGCATATATATATATATATATATATATATATATAATAGTATGTGTAATTTGGATTATATATATTATAATGCATAAATATTCTAATTTATATTATTATTATTATAGTACACATTATTTGGATCGGCTGTACTGGATATATATTCGTCATTGATTACATGTTTATCGGTATTGTAGCTTTATAAATAAGGCAAAAAATCCTATTCTTCTCGGTAGTTATTTAAGCAGCTTTCGGTATGAACTCGCAAATTATACGGGGAGCATATCTAAATTAATCTTAATTTGTTCAAGCAAAAGTTTTGACTGCAAAGCTCTCAAATTTCCACTCTTATTTCTTCACAAAATCGATTCTTGGTATGGTGACATTCTAAGTTTGTCCATTGACTCTCGATAAGTCTTGCTGTGGTAGAGGTTTGTGCTTTAGATAGGATGAAATTTCGAGCGGTGAAAGTTGTCAATAACGCTTGTGAACGTATTTCAACTGTGAAAACAAATAAGAGCTGATTTAGTTTAGCATAGATTAAGTTCGAACATTTTTGTAATTTCACTAATGAAATTGCATTTAATATGGCATGTTTCAAGTTGCCAAGAGTAGCCTCGTATTGAAGGCCAATTTTATTATTCTATTTAGCTAAAAGGGCAAAGTTGTTAATAAATCATTCCCAACATGTACTAAATGTGTAACGCATGATATATTTTCAAAATATTTTAACAGAAAATTAACTTTTTTAAAGAGACTTAAATGACGAACAAAATAGTAAAAAACGCTGTTTTGCGCACGACTTGTATCGCTGATTTAGCGAAATAATAGCAGACGACATGAAGGAAATATGTTTGCCTCGGAAAATAATAACATTATTCCTTCGAAATGAAGTTAAATGCCATTAGGTAGTAACGATTGATTTAGAAGAAAATTTAAAATTATTATTTGCCTTAGATATGAACGTCCCGCGCTTACAATGAGTCCCTATTTTACAACACTTCAACACCGCTATCGCCGTGCCCCAAGTTCAGGGCAACAATTCAGCCCGAGGTCTCACCCTCAATATGCCATTCCCGCTCGTCCCCCTCTTACACGTGACACCAATTATGGTATTATGCACCATTCACTTTATGTCGGCGGTCTCAATACCCAGGCAAATAATAATCACATGCTTCAACCTGCCCAATATTATACGCAAACACAGGATGATGCTGAAAGGGGTAATTGCTACTAACACTAATTCAGTAGGATGCACAACACTGAAATTAAATGTACACTTTCTCTTATAGATTTATAAAGACTCACAATGCATGACACGCGGTCTATCGATATCTCTACAAGATACCGCGTAACCACTCAGTGTACCTTTTATACTGCAATCATCGCCATCTCCAACAATCGTCATGCAAATGTAAACAATATCTATCTTCCAGTTATGTAGCTAATCAGTGACTTCGTTTTAAATGAAATAAATATTAATTAAAATTACTGCAAGTCTTATTATGAGATTACATCAAATCTTATTTTACATATAATTAAACTATTAACGGGCTTCTTTTAAGGGAATTATTAGTTAAAATTGACGTTATATTTTAAAAATTCAATTATTTATTTATTTCAAATGGCAGTCTTTATGGTAGTCATAATTATCCCTTCAGTTTACTTAGGGCTTCTCAGTGGGAAGGAACAGACAAAGTCATAAAAAGTCGAGAGGGGGAACAGAAGAGTAATTTATAGCGAGATAGATTTACATCCACGTGGTGCACCCTGGGCAACATATACTCATACTCCCACTGACTTCAAAAATGTAAACATCTAATTGCCCATAAAACATCGTTTAGTAAATAAATAAATAAATATTTTAGAATAGGAAAATAATTTGTGGTTAAGGTTTGAAATTATTTGTAAGTTATATTTTTAATCTCTTGAAGGATACTTCTAGAACAAGGCATTATATGAATATGATCATTTCTAAAAAGAGGCTAATTGAATTTCCCCATTTGCATGAAGTTAGTATGCTTAGAACCGTCAGAATGAAATTAGGACTTTGAATTCCAAATTGTTTGAATGTTTATTTATTTATATCAAATGGCAGGCATTTTGATAGTTATCATTAGCCCTTTAGTTGACTTCAGGCTTCACAGAGTTGAATGAACATCAAAGTGGAAAAAAGTCTAGGGGGGGGGGGAGACAGAAGAGTGATTCAAAGATGTAAAAGAGACAGACACAAAGGTAGAAAAAAGGTGAGGTGAGTACTGTGGAAGTAATCGAATATGACATACACTGGGGTGATGGTTGTTTGGAGTCAGAAGTCAACTGCCGGTTAATAGACTTTTTTGCCGTATGAGTATACGTTGCCCAGGGTGCACCACGTGGAGGTAAGTCTATCACACACCCCAAAGAATGTATGAGGGGTAAAATGAAAATATTCACTGTCAAAATTAGCTAGTATGAAAAGGCTATCGAAGTTAGCTAAGCTAGATCAGCGATAAAGAGGTAACAAACGTATGATGTGGAATTCGATTATTTGGGTTGTGTGTCACTGATAGGGCGATTAGTCAGTAAATACAATTTTGACTACTCTAACTACTCTAGTCGATTATTGATTGACTGGAAGGTCTTTGTGCTCATGACCCAATAATCTCTATCTCAAGTGATTAGCAGCATGGCCGTACTTGATGGCTAGAAGCAAAGTACCACACCGCTCGGTACAGAACGTTTCAGGACGAATTAGAAACTTTAATTTAGCCTTGTAAGCGTTGCATTCACCGCTTATGTGATGAAACGGCAACCGTTTGATGGAAATGAAATTTTTTCTCTTTTATCATCTGTTCTTTTCCATAGGATCCCTTAACCGCCTCTAGGTTTTCGTAAGAGACTGTGCTCATCAGAAAGACAAACGGCCAAGGCCGCAAAATGGCCCAGATCACCATGTCAAGTTATGACTCAAGTTAAGGTAAGGCCATCGCGAATAGCTACACCCATAAGCCTTGACTTATGCTTAGTAATCTCCATGGCAAGTCTAGTTTGGAATGGTTCTCAAAGTTAGCTAAGCTGTCGAAACGTTATAGATAAAACAGACATATGTAGTGAAATACGTTTATTTGGATGTTGCTATGTTGGGGGTGTGTATCCACTGTGTCTTGACTGGCAGGGAGCTTAATCGTTATATACACTTTCGGATACTGTAGCGACGTAATGATTTTGTTTATTGATTGATCGAAAGGTCTATGGACCTTGATAGATATCTGATCTGCATCGTAACGTAATGTTGTTGTACGTTTGAGTACGCAGGCGCTTCAATACCTCAGTCATGACAGTGTTGTGTTCCCCACAAAGATGGGCAGTAATGTAAAAATCCATTTGAATAAAAATGAATTTAAAGGAGGAAACTGTGCAAGAATTATTATTTAAAGGGAAAGCTTTTAAGCTATCTGTGAAAAATCTCCATCGCAATACTTCTAATAACTTAATAATGATATCTAATTTTGTGTAGCCGGCCCGTTCATATTTTCACGAAATGCATTCCCGCCAGTGCGATGAGAGAAAAAGAATTGTTATAAAAGTTATTAAACGGCAGGATTGAAAGCTTTCCAAATAAAAAAATCTTCATTCTGTTTATGATAAAGTGTTGCATGTAGATTGCTGCTAGCTTTGAATTTACGCAACAACATCCTTGTAATTAAACCCCGATTGTTTGAGTTCTACAGGAGGTTTAGTTTATTACGCTTGCGTTTAGCGGAACAAACTACTTAAATATCCATTAAAATTCCCATTTTGTGGTGGCGATAGACTAACCTCCACGTGGTGCATCGTGGACAACGTATGCTCATACGGCAAAAGTTTAGAAACATGAAGTTGACCTCTGATTTCAGCCTACCATGACCCCACTGTATGTTATATTCCATCATTTCTACATCTTCTTCTCCACCTTCGTATCTACCTCTATTACATCTGTTGATCACCCTTCAGTTCCTCCTCACAACATTTTGTGACTTTGATGTTCCTCCCAACTGTAAGACCTGAAGGTAAAATGACAACTATCACTGGAAGCAGTGGCCAGATAGACTGATTTCATCATATATAGGTGTTTTACTTCTTAAACTATTTGCTTTCCGTCTACTAAGAAAGTTGCCATTTTGTTTACAGTAGTGCTTAATTTTAAATTATAAAATTTTAACCTAAGTTAGTTAAAACTCATCATAGTTCACTTATTTTAGATCTAATTCATGCAAAGAAGGTAAAACCATCAACCGTAAGCAATACTGATGGAAAATAAATGCGATATATGGATAAAACACTAAATGAATGTCTGAAAACTTAAAAGCAAATTATGATAAAATTTAAAATAGAATTATTTCGATTCAAAGTACATGTCAAGCTATAATAAGGTTAGAAAGAGAAGACAAACAGCATGAAAGCAATTGTTTTAGTTTTTTCGCGAAGCACACTAACAAAGACGGATCACAAATTATATCGAGTGCTGCTAGGGCCCACCAAGATTTATTGAGATCCGAGAATATGTATAAGAATATTGAAATGAGGTTGTTCAACTTACAAGATGTGAATTCGATAAGCAATTTGATTCTTTTATTAGAAAAGACAAGCACATTTCAAAAATTATTCATTTTGCGTTTTTTAATTTAAAAAAATCAATGGAAATAAAGATATTTTCTATTTTGTCCTAATTTGTCCATATTTTGGATTAAAATTGCATAATAATGACCTTCGAATCTGACCTTGTGTTTGGGAATAATTGCAAAGTGTCTATAATATTGGCATATGGCAGGGGTTTTTACTAATTAATCAGGGTATCGCTCTCTTATGTCCATAAAGTATAAATTCCGCTGTTCATTTTATTTTTAAATTTTGCTTTGTTTTTTATTAATTTTTCAGTAATGGTTCGTGTATTGCTTGCGCTTCCTTCTATAATTCGGCATACTTTCAACCGTAAATTTTCTTACCTATCGTCCTCTCCGACAACCTCCCAGAATGCTAAACAACGTCCAACTGAATTTAAAGATGAATTTGTCAAGAAGCTTGTATGCGAAGAGTTGATAACGATCCCCGATTTTATTACAGAGGAGGAAGAACTGAGTCTCCTCTCTGAAATCGACCCTGTTCTTACCCGAGCTCGTTATCAAACTGCTCATTGGGACGATGTAAGTTGTATCTATTTCTGTTTGAATGCTTTTACTTAGGCCATTCTGGATTTCCGCGAAACCGAGAGAAAAAGCTGGCGCGCTGTGAATCGACCTATAATTGATAGATTGCGTCAAAAGACACTTGAGGTTCTTATCTCAGAACCACGCCCTGAAGGCGTTCCGAAGGCATGTAGTTTTGATGATCTCCTTCCAAGTATTCATGTGCTTGATCTTGCTCCAACTGGATGGATTAAGCCACATGTGGATAGCATTCGGGTACGTGATTCACTAAGAATCGCAAAATTGTTATTTTTTAATTTGTACAATGGTCTCGTTTACTTAAAATTTTTCTTCGCTATTAGAATCGGTGATTTTTTCCTGCAAATGGCTCTTTCTTCCATATATCAAACATATATATATATATATATATATATATATATATTCGTTAATTTTTAATCTGCAGTGATATCTTTTGAATCTTCTGTTTCGATTTTGCTAGATAGCACTTTTAGATTTTTATTTAACAATCTCTTATGATATGTGTACACGTACCGAAATTTGGAAATTATTTCAATCATGCATTTGAAGCCTAAAATTTAATTTTATTTTTTGAATCCTTTACAAAATAATTCGTATTTTGTTTTCCAGTTCTGCGGTCCCCTGGTTGCTGTTCTATCTCTTCTCTCAGATAGTGTTGCCCGATTCACTGTGGCCCATGAAAGTGAAGTTGCCCCGGTAACATCCAATTTCCCCGCCGCAAAAATGGATTTAAAATTACCTCCCCCTGGTGCATCTGCAGACGTTTGGGTCCGCCGTCGAATGCTCTACATGATGCGGGGAATCACGAGGTATCGTTTAACTCATGCCATCCTTCCCAACGATAGTCCCAACCCGTCTACAAATGATGGCAGCCTGGTCCATCGAGAGAGACGCATTACTGTTATGTGCCGACCTCGACCTGAGTGCGTTATAGATAATTCAAGCTCCTCTTATTCCTATGGACAACTATCGTAAATTAGGTGATGTTTGCAATAAAGTGCAGTCTAGTCTACCTCATCGGGACTTTCTAAAGTTCAAAACTTTTAATTGGGCACAAATGTTTCCATACCCGTTTTTCTTTTTAGCGTAGACTTCGAGCTTTCTAATTTCATTATTATTCACAACTGGTAATAGAATTTTTCGATCATTTTCGTGTCTCATTATAGTCCCTTTCATTCATAGCTGTCGTAGATAGCATAAAGCTAGAATATTTCGGGTACCTTTCATAATTCAGCAGCTTTAATACATATTATTCCGGTGATTTAGTTCAGTTCAAATCCTGGGAGTTTGCTTGTGCATTCACAAAGCCAGGATCTACAAGCCCTGTGGACGATATCCTTACACACACACACACACACACACACACACACACACATGCCCAAGCCTAGCACGATTCTTCTTATCAATCATTTTAAGAGATTCTCAAGCGGGGTATACGAAAATGAAGGTAATATTGACATAAAAGTTTACGTTTCGCAAGTTCTTTCCTTTTTCCCTCTTGCTTTTGTGGAAATCTTCGTGAATAGCTAGTTCACTGGGTACCTTATATGCTATAAACCCGTAGTTGCTTATCGGCATTCGTCTGAAATCTTCCAAAATTGTGTTTGTAGAACGTTAGCATTTTCTTTGTGTTATTTTGTTTAAAACGATGGTGTGCTTTAAGTATCCAATAGTGGGATATTTTGAATTTTAATTCGAAAATGTTGAGATTTTTTGCTGCCATGGCAGATAAAGAGTTACATATCTGTTCTTCCCATCTTCAAATTAAATAATGGCTAATCAGCTTTACGCTGAATTATTGGTTTGATTATTTTTTTATTAAAGTTGTCATATAGCTTATCTAACTGCTTTTACAACCGAATTTGCGTAATTAATTTGCGTTGCATACTTATTTAATTAAGTAGTAACACAATGTTTTTCTATTTCACTATTTCAGTCCCGAGGAATTCACAACCCGCTGAGATACATTCAACTATACTTTATTTGCTTTCCTTTTTGCAATTAAAATAGCTGATTTGGAAAAATAAAATAAAATTTGCATTGATAAGAGTGGGCCCATCTGGAGGAATTTTAGTTGACTTCTTTTTTTCAAACTGCTGTAGTGTATTAGCTTTTGGTTTGGATTCGGATGAGTATTTTGATACTGCTTCCTATTTTACGCCTACACGCTGGAGATCTTGCGGCTTTTTTTGGTTCAACCTTCAATCTTTTAAAGCCCCGACTTCGTATTACGTTCACTGGTCATGCAGGATCTTACAACTCGATTTCCAGAATATTACCTATTACAATTTTGGAAATCGTAAATGATATTAAAACTTACATAAGTAGAAAATTTTTATATAGAGTGGTTAACTTAAGATGCGGACCTAAGTAAGTAGAATGTACTCTTTGCTACCGATCACACCCACCAATAGGACGGCTTCGCCAATCAAAGCACTCAGTCACTCGATGTCTGCAAATGGGTGACCAATTAGTAGCCTTCGTTTGCATGCCGTCTGTCACATGGCCACCTGTATCGTTTTCCTTGCATGTTCTTTCCATTCGTTAACCCCCCCCCCCTCCCCCTCCTTCAATGCATTTCTTATCTAGATTCTATTTAACATGTCTGCCGTAAATCTCAAAATCAACGCTCGAACGATCTTGCAATATATTGAAGTGATAATGGGAATCCAAAGTTAGTGCTTTTTTATATGTAAGCTAAATTGCAAGAAGCTACTATAGCTACTGTACCTTACTCTATTATTGTATTTATTCTTTATGAAATGTTCAACCTCTCGTTTTCATATTTTCTGGCCAGTTGATTGGTTGGTTAATCACGTCATCTCTGTGTGTTTTTTTTCGATCTATTAATCGTGAGCAGCAATGCATCCTTTATTCACTCGAGATGTTCATTTCAAAATTAATCACAAAGTTTTTGTACTAGGTAACGCAGTTTACAAGCCATGTGCTTATTTTGTCGTGTAGTGGACTATGAGAAATCTTATCGTAATTCACACTACTGGAGGCATTTCGATGATTCATCGATAAGAGCGCTCATCGCTACTGAGATTGAAGTGAAGATGAGACAAAGTGGTAGACACTGGGTACTTTTTAATATAATTACGCACTTACGAAGTGCCTTTTGGTTGATTAGATGAAAGGTTAGTTTATTACTTCCTAAGCGCGTTTTTCTGTTACAAAGTTATAGTCTCTAAGTAACATTTGGCTTCCAAGTGCAGGTTAACCAAGTTCGTTATTACAGACGCTGGGGAAATAGTAAAAAATAAAATATATGTAATTTTAAAGATTTTTTAATTAAAGTGTATATTAGTTTAATGAATTAACTTGAAAATGTGTGATATGAGAATGAGGCTACGCTTTGAGTTAGAACAAATTTAGTCATTTTAGTGAATCGTACGTGTTAATTGTCTTAAGAGGAGGAAATAATCCAATTACCTCCAAATGCATTAAATGTTTTGGCTAAGGCTGTCTCTTCTATTTCCATGGAGCGATGTCGTGGAATAGGTCTACTTTGTGAATTCCTCTAAAGGTCCAACCAATGGAGGAGAGCTAACAAATATTTTTTCCATGATTTACATATTTCAAATGGCAGGCGTTTTGATAGTCATCATTAGCCCTTTAGCTGACTTCGGACTTCACAGAGGGTAGGAACAGGCAGTCACAAAATGTCGAGAGGGGGAACAGAACAGTGATGCACAGATGTAAGCGACAGGCAGACACAATGGCAGAGAAAAAGCATTGTGAGTACTGTGGAAGTGGTGGAGTATAACAAACAGTGGGGTCATGATAATTTGAAGTCAGAAGTCAACTGCCAGTTAGTAGACTTTTTGCCGTAAGGATATACGTTACCCAGGGTGAACCACGTGGAGGTAAGTCTGTCGCACACTCCAATTTTTCATTGATTTGGACAGCGACTTAATTCAACCTACCAAAAACCTGTCTGAGAAATTTCTAAACGCCTATAATGGGAAGATTTACTAGCCATGGCTGACTCTGATGCGACATCAAGGTACAACATCCGGAACACCAATCACAAGTTATCCAGATTGGAACGCCTGAGCGCCTTACTAACTCAATCACATAATTCAAGTTTTATGGGAATCATTCGATAGATCGGATACTACTGGAAGATCATTTTTACCACATTATTTTTATTTTAATTGATAGAAAGATATCAATATAAGATTAAATAAAATTAAGTCCTCAGTACCACGCCAAGAAAGATTGTAACATTAAATACAAAATAAACTTTGAAAAAAATGAAACCAAAGAACAAATTTGACTACACAATGTGGAATGCAGCACAAAATATGAAGAAGACAAAAGAAACAATATCACAATAAGCACATAGAAATGAGGCAGAAGAAATAGAGACAACTCTAGTTCAACCAATCAAAGACATCTTTCTGCGATTGCTCTTGTACTGAATTATTTTTCTGCGTGGTGCTATCACCGAGATCCAACAGAGATTCAACATTGCTGGCCAGACCATTATCAATTAGATTTACTGAATCTAAAGATGTGAGATCAGCCAAAGGAGGGACATCACTACTTGCATTGTTATCAGTTGTAATTATCTCAGGAGCTTCATCATCCGATTCTCCAGTATTGATGATATCTGATTTGTAAGCGAAAGCATCCCTTGAAAGATCCATTTCTAGCGGAAAGATGGTGGCTCCTTTCATTACTTCGAAGCAGTTTTCGTGGTAAGTTGCCATAGCGGAAACAAAGCGCTGCAACTGTATAACTGTGTCTTGAACTATAAAGAAGACACATAAAACTTAGTGAATATCGATTTGGGTAAATGTAGTAATTTATTACAATTTAACAGTACTTTGTAATTTTTATATTTACATATATAAAGGCGGTGTGAAATAGAATACCCACTTGGTACAATAAAAAATATCGCAATTACACAAATTTACCATTTGCGAAAGGTTCTACATGTCTAATCTGAAAACAATACTCGTTTAAATGTGGCAAAATCGTAACGTGCACTTTCTGCTACTATAAAAAAAGTAAACCTGACTTGTGAAAATCCCCCTTGCAAATACCAAATACAATTCACCTACGAAGAGCACCTGAAGCAATGAAGGTCATTATTAGAGATAAATAACCACCGATCATCACTAGGGCTACAATAGGGTCAATATTTACAAGGTAGATGCCTTCAGATTTCATTTTCTCACCTAAGTAGGGGGTGCTTAAAGGGGCATACAATTATTTGCACAGATATTACTGCTCAATAAGTGGAACATTTTGATTGACTGAGAGCAAGTAATGTTGATCAAAGGTAGCAGACTCATCCGAAATCTGTGAGGTTAAGTCTGAAAAATGCTAATACCGAAGTAAAAGTAATATTTATAAGAAGTCTCCTGGGTCAATCAGATATTTGTAAGGGCAAGGAATGGTTTTAATTAGGTCTAGGCACCTATTGTGTAAAACGTTCTACTTATTATTTTTCAGTAATCTATATAGCGTATGAAGGCGCGAACCGACCATGTTTGTTATCAAGCAGCTCTAGTTTCACGAGGACATCATTTCGGAGTTTGGCAAAGCGAGCTCTGGCATCTTGACGACAACGCAAAACCAGGCGATACTCATAGTTGCCCGTCTCAACACGATAAAGAGGCTCCTGAAGCGCATTGAACGTGTACTCCTCATCATCCATCTCCTTGACCTTCAGGCAATAGGACTGAAAAGTGGAAGGGGATGAATAACAATGCTGCTAATTAATAACTTGAATGGATTTAGAAAGATGGACTGACGAGGTATTCGAATTTCACGTCGAGATAGCGTTTAACTGTCAATTTGGTATCGGGAATGGCTTTAGTAAGGAAGGTATTCAAGTCGGAAACAATCTAAAATACAAATTGTATTTTTTTTTTAATATAAATATCAACATGATAACTAATGGTGTCAATATAGCAAAAGTCGTTCCAGACTAACTAATATACCAATTAAGTAGTCCCTAAAACGAATATACGCCGTTTGGGAGGGGTAAAATACGATACCTGCTATTAAATAAATCGGAAAACTAAACTTCAATTGAATTATCTCTAACAAGTTAAATAATCGAATGAATAGTGGTAACAACGGGGCGTAAAAACTAGTAAGATAACATACTCTTCCATAAAAAGGATTCATTTTAATAAAACAAATCCTATTTTTCAGAGCGTATTTTATAAATGACCACACTTCAGTCATAGAAATAGTCAAAATAAATCGATAAGATCCAGAAGGACAAAAAGTACAAAAATCATTATGACCACCTACGATACATAATTCTATGTAACTGTGTAGGGAATAAAAACAACACTTTCACATACATACAAAACACAAGGGTACGTAAAATAGTTTCTATTTGAATGTCATCTCCAATGATGGCATTAGACCACCTCTCAATGGATCTTTTGGGCGGAAAGAGACCTAAATCTGAAAACAAATGACAAATATCCTAGAAAATACCAGAATATGTTCTTCTCTCAGAACTAGGTGACATGTAAGAGCAAATATCGAATTCCATTTAAAAAATCAAACTACCCTAAAGTAAAACGCTTGATGGGTACATGAAAAAAAGGGGATTAACTCGATATTATCGGCCATTCTTAATAAATTGAATAAAAAATTTCAGTAAAAAACTACCGAAGGCAAGCGCTCCATTTATCTGCGACGTGTTTCGTCATTCTATATCCTCCATTTATGAAAATATTAGGCTTGTTTCAACTAATTCTATAGGATGAATAAAGCTGACCATTGAAGGGTGCATATTCTCGACGTACACAGCAAGAAAACATCAAACTTCAAGTGACAAAAGTAAATACTTCTTTCTTATAGAGGAAGCAGATGGAATTGCCGGTTACATTGTGGGAAGAATGACTGTAGCCAAAAATTACCTTAAATGACCAAATTTTACGACCAATCTCTCTTGACTACTTCTGCAAATTGATGAGGTTGCAGTTACTAATGTTCCAAAATGTTTCAGTAAGCTCTAAAGGATAATTTGAGGAAATTCAAAAGTCACAACAACCATTACGAATCTATGTGCAATTAAAAGCAGGCTTTAAACAAAACAGTGTAGAATAATGCCTACCATATCATGTAAGAATATGAATAAAGAGGATTACATTGCATCATTCTAACCCTACCGACTCCGTTTACGGTAAAACAATGAACAAAAACGAGAGTTTAAGAAAAGAAATGAAATTTCTCCATGAAGAATTGACAGAGGAGATTTGTCCAGACCAGCACACAGATGCTGATTAAGGCCACCCTTATACTATTGTGAAAGAACACTAAATTCACTGAGGGGAATTAGAAATTTTGTCAGTTTCTACAGATAGATTATTACTGTTGGTGTTTTAAAAAGAACCAGTCGCTACTCACCTACAAATTATCACAATATGCAAGCAAGGCACTTTGCTCCCAATAGACCACAGAATTATAGTAAGCAAGGGGCGAAACGAATAGCTAGAATATCACTATCACGTTATCAAGCATACTCACAACAAAAACAAAAGAAATCAACAAAATAAACAAGGAAGATTCGAGCAGTGGACTAATTCCTAAAGCTAAAACTCGCGAACCTTTCGATTAGGAAAAAACAATGCCAATAAAGGGCGCTAAAAGATGGAAGTGAAGAAAGTGGCATACCGGTCGGAGTTGTTTAAGGGTATCGATGGCAAACTTCTCCAAATTTCGATGAGCCTCTCCAAAATGCGTGAAGGCTTGTCCGGCACGAATTTGAGGCTCTTTGACTCCAATCTGGGCCATAATTTCGCCGAAATCTATAGAAAATAACAGGGTTAGTTCCAACACTATTAATCCTACAGATGAATAGACAGGCGGAAATTGAATAATATTAAAAAGAAACCCTCAAATCAGAATCCTAGAAATCTATTTTATACATAAAGATAAGGTAAAAGGCAACGCGAAAAATGTCCAAATAAAAATGCAAAGGCAGATAGAAGGACTGTTTACCAGGTAAACCATCAAGATATAAAAATGGAATTAGAGGGTTCAATCTATACAAAGGAGTAGCTCTAAAGGGGTGATTTTCATCACATAAGATGAGCACGAGAAGGGGGATGTGCACATCGTGAATACCAATACGGTCTGGTGAATAAGCACACAATGAATGTCACAGAAACACAAACTCTCCTATGGCAAAAGAAAAGCTAAACAGCACAGATCCTACACTGAAAGTAATTGAGCATATCGACATGGCGAAAAGCGATACTAAGATAGAAAAGACTCCAGCTGCAACATCTAACCACGTAAAAGGAAGTTTTAACACAAGGTGAGAGAAAGGGTTTCTACAACTATTCATACGAGGCATTACGCATTCTACAGTGCGATTGGACACGAGCCGCATACGGAGTTGAGAAAATTTTTTTGTATGCATAAAATCCATGCGTAAAAAAACAAAAGGCAACTTAAAAGAACAGAGTTGGGATAATAAAGAAGATAAGACTCGATGGGTGTTCTCGCTTATCTGATTAAAGAATCAGTAATTATCGGAAAATAGTGACTGATTGGTATTATAAACCACAGTGCTAAAATCTGGCAAGAAGTGAATTATCAGCCTTAGAAGCGCCATCATTAATACTAATAAAATCTATCCATCCAAACTGAAGCAGCAACTGACTTGAATAAAATTGAAAAAGGAAGAAAAATTCGTCCACTACTTTCTTTGCCACTTAATTGCACATTCCTAAAATGAGCTGAAGGACAAAGCAGCATAAGCAACCAGTCAACACGGAATATAGTAAAATCAAAAGGATTTCAAATAGGACGAATACTTACTCCGATGAATCTTTGAAAGCTGGAAAATACCTCTAACCAGAGATCGTGTGTGCTGTACTAACCCGTTAAACATAGAAGCGGTGCGATTCAATTCGTCCATCTTTTTCACCAAACTGTCTACATAGCTTTGTATAATTAAAAAACGATGCATGTACCATTAACGAGAATTGCACGACTCAGTCCCAGCGCATCCGCTGTACTCGTTTCCATATTTTCAACAATTTTATGCTTGATTTTCTTCATAACTGAAAGAAGGAAACAAAAAAAAAATAAGTGGATAAATAGCCATGACAAAAGCAAAGCTCACTTATATCTAGGGTTTTTCCTTGTTTAGGATCAGCATGTAGTTTGTTAAAATATATGGTGACTGTATCCTTTAAAAAGAACACTGGCATTACAAATGTTACAACAGAAAACAAATATGAGAATAAGGTAATTCACTCACAGGAAAACTCTGAATAAGTCTAGCAACTTCAACTTTTCCTTTCCCTTTTACCCTAACACCTCCAATACCAGTTATCTCATCACCGGACTGAATGGTACCATCTTGAGACGCAGGTGTATTATCAAATACTTGTACAACATATAAACAAGGGCAATAGGGAGCGCCGCCACCGATACTGATACCGACGAGATTCTGAGGATCCTTTTTGAGTGTGACGGATCCACTTGTCACCATCATACCACTAGAACAACACCGTGAATATCATAATTAAAATAAAAAAGCAGTTTAGAATTTGTATTTCATAAATAAAGTACGCACAGCTTGTCTTCCTCATACACATAGTCATCGTACATGATGGTAGAATGTGGACAAATGGGCCGCTACAATCTACAACCGTGTGCTGATTTATTTAACTAAATTGATGTGATGATAAAATAATAATTTAATATTATAAAGAAATTTCATTTGCGTTTTGGCTAACACTTAAGAGAATTATAAATGTATTTTGAAATGATTATTTATGCAGTGAATAAAATATATACTGAATGTTAATTTAAACTATTTAAAATTTAAAAATAATATAAAAAAGCATAAAAGCGCTTATTTATTAATTGTAGCATAAAGTTTTACGAATCTTATAGTTACCTGAGGTCATGATAAAATGCGAATATAAGCACCTGTTATCGTTTCTTAATTTATTTTAAAATGCCCCACTTAAAACTACTCCATAGAACTTGGAAATATTCAGAAGATGAATTTGTTATATCCAGTTTGGCTCAAATGACATTACGAATAATCTTGTAAGTAATAACTGTTAATATTATTTTCAGGGTAATAAGTGCAATTGTTTTTCTTTTCATCCGCCACGACTGGCTTTCTAATGCACAGGATTATTTTCAAGTACATAATTCTATATAATATCACTTCTTAGGCTAATTTTACTGTTGCTGTTGTCCTCTGCTTTGTTCATGTATTTGCTCTTTTGCTATTGGCATTTGTCAGTGGAAGAGGAGGTGTAATGGAAACACATAAAAGGAAGAGTCTCCCTCTTTGTCTTTTAATTCACTTTATTTTGATGATCTTGGAAACGATATTTTACTCTGTTTCAATATGGCAAATTGATACTTTGCATAATGGTCCAAATAAAGTAAAGATTTCTTTAAACATAATGAGCTTCTTTTTCAATACAGATTGCAAGTTTTTCAACCTTCGCTTGTGTAATAACGTGGTGCTCAATTTTGTTGCTTGCCATCGTTTTTGAGTTAATCGATTGGATACGCCATTATGACAGGAATGGCCGAGTTAAATATCAGTTCTATCAAACCTTCCTTTACGGCGAAGAAACTCTTTTAGACGATGAAGAAAAAGCTGAACTTATTCGACAGATTCGTGAAATCGGAAAATTTTCCTTGCGTGACTTCCTTTGTAAAAAGTTTGCCGCTGCACCATGCGGAGATACCGAAGATGATAGAAATGAAGCAATCGATGCTGTGGCTTCGGCTCTTACTGATTTTTCAACAGTAAGGCTGGTTCTAGCATTTATATATTATTTTAGGATCTTGATTTGACCATGTCTGACCTCTCAGTTGCTTTGATTCTTCTTCGATGGCAATCGGACCAGTGGATTAGTGGGCAGGGTTCAGTTTCTGTTGAAAATGTATTAAAGCAAACATTCCCAGATATAACAAATATTGCAGCTCCGGTTAGTTTAATGAAATAATTGTCTATTTGTTACTCCATACTACCTACGGCCTCATATTCGGCGTTTTAAGTATAGCTGGATCCCTGTGCAGAGGATCCAATGGATAAACTGGAATCAAACTGGTTGCATATTTCACGACTCCGACGATACTCGAAACTTGTAAATGCATCATATGGGTGGATTTATTACGTCCTTAACAATCCTTGCAGTTGTATTGCCCTCAACCGACTTTGTAAACGGCTTTCATGCGGGTAAGTTTAATTTTTCAAATATATCTTAGGGATTTAGTATTTCAATATTTCTCAAATGTGACCATCTCATTATATAAAAGCTGTTTGGTGGATGTATGGTTGAAAAAATTCCAAAAATATTTCCTTTATGGTAGACTGCCTCTATAATGAAAGAAAGTCTTATGGAAATGGAAATATTCAGTTTTTAATGGTCAATTGAGTCTTATGATCATCGGGTGGAGCTCAAACACGTTAAGGGTCAAAGGATTACAGTTCTTTTCTAAACGATATTTTTTGTTAAAATTTACATCTTTGATCTATGTAATTATTGAGTACTTCATGCGAAGGTTCGAAATTAATCTGGGTTTATTGTGTAATGTCATTTTAAGAAGTAAATGAATTTTTAGAGAAGGGAAAAAATAGCGAAGTGAAGTAGGTGGAGATGATTACATAGGGGAAGATGGATAAAACATGCAGTAAATGTAAGACGATGCTTATTTGATGAATAAATAAAAATCGAAATAGCTGACAACGGATGAATAATAAGACCTAAACAGTTTCAATTTTCAAACTGTGCATTTTGGGAGGGTTTTCTGAGTTATTGAGAGATTTTGAAGTCACTAGCAAATATACTGATAGTCAAGTCCAAGCTAATTGAGTTGGAAGATGATTTGCCTCCTGCCACAAAGAATTTGCCGAAATCATTTTTTTCCCAAACCCAGTGTCAATTAGAGTCTAGGTAGTCTCAATAGATTATTATTACCCCTATAACGTATCTACTAGTTAAACTATTTTTGCAAAGGAATCCGACTGCACCGGACAGGCAAATTGATTTTGAAAGCGGAATTATGGGACCTGGAGGATGTCTCTGCGCTGGTAAAAATTGCTACCTTTCGGCCTTTCTGGAAATGTCTCAACTGAAAACAGAGAATATTTTGACATTCCAAATCACAGATCAGGCAAGTTGACTCAACAATTTCATTTGCTCAAGCCCAATCCCTCCCCCCTCCCTTATTCGTACACTTAATTTAAGCTTTTATTCCTCTAATTTTATACTGTCAGCTAGATTTCGAGGTTACAGCACTAGTGGATAGAACTCAGTTATTTGGAATGACGAATTTATAATAGATAGATCGATATGAATAAATTAAAAAATAAGTTGAAATCATCGGTATTAAACTTGATTGATATAGATCCTACCTGACTTCTCTTTCTTAATGCCGCCAATTAAAAAGAATTCACAACTTAATTATTTAAGGCATTATTCAAAAAGTAGGCAATTATTTCGCATAAGCGAATTACTCTTTGTTCATATTAATTGGCAATATATCCACTTAAAACGCTAATGAATCTACTGAAATGGTGTGTTCTTTCCTACTGCATGATTTATGCCAATTTCCATTATAACTAAATGGGAATAAATTTCGCATTTGATATTCCAGTTAATCAGTTTATCAGTAAAATTTAACTCCCCAACTCGATATTCCATCTACTTCCAAAGGGAATTCTAATTTCTTTGTAATATTATCGGGGAACGCTTAATGTGCTTGCAGAGTTAACCGAATGGTTGATCCCAATGCACAACAATGGAATCAATTCAGAATAGAACAAATAATAGCCCCACTGTACTCTTTCAGTGGGAGCGATGTTGAACTATTAATCCCAATTATATGTAGTGCATCGGTGACTTCTCATATTGATCAATTGCAATGTACTACTGTACTAGTTAGTTGGTGATGAGAGATGACTTCTAATAGACAAAAGTATCCATTTATAAGTTCATAATTTTTTCCTTCGGAAATGAAATGAACCGAGTTGGTGAGATACCACCGTATAAGATAGTTCGTGATGCACACTTTCTTCAATTATTGTAATCCTTAATAGAAAAAATTAAATCGGGGGGGGGGTGGTACAATTTTTCCATTATAATTTCGGGTTTGATCTCATGGGG